GAGTTCATGGGCTTGCAGGGAACCTCCGGCAGCCTGCTGGGGACCCTGCCGTAGCTGTCCTTGGCAGTGCTGGTCCGGCTGCATACATCTCCTCCTTCTTCCTGAGACTGGCAGAGCACTGGACAGCCACACACCTGCCTGTACAGCGCTGGAGAGCCCAAAGCCTGGCACCCGCCAGTACAGCCATTGAGAGCCGCACATACAGCCCTGGAGAGCCTGGTACCCGACAGTACAGTATTCAATTTTGGATTTCCCCTCACTTTCTTAGCGACAATGGCCATCAATACAAATGGGGTGTGAATACCCCCCCCAAAGGGGACACATACAGCAATACAAACTTGACAGTACTGGTCACTCAACCCAAAAGTGATATTTCTTTTCAAGCCGAGGTTTGGGGGGCCTGCTAGCTCCTTATATCTCCTGGGGATTCCAAAGGCAAGATTCCACAGCTATAGTTCCAGGGTCTGTTCCTGAGCACCTTGGTATTTCCATTTTCCTACCCACCTTGGTCTGCATACTCCTCCAGTTTCCTTCCTCTTTTATTCATGTTCTGAGTGGTAACAATGTTTTGAATACTCTATATTGTAGGTACTAATTGCATTGCATTATTAGTGGAGTACTCTCCCCAACAATTACTTAATCTCATTAAATCTACCAGTATCCATTGGCTACAACAATAAGCACAAATTAATGGTTTTATTCAATTTCCAGGCTTGTGTCATATGGGACACCAGCAAACCTGCACAATGACTGGATGTACTTATGTGTTTATATAAGAGGTGCACCGAAATGGAAATTTCGAAACCGAAATAAAAAAAAAAATTTAGGATGTGTTTTTAGTATATTGTAATGTCATCATGTCTCTGTCAGGTTTACTGCGTCACGCTCGATTGGAGCGTGATCCGGATTAAATCAGCACTGAGGGTAAACCATTGCAGTAGATATCTTCCTGTGCTTGGCGGAGCAGTGTTTTCTTAGCAGGTATATGGACGCTGGCTAGGGACCCTGCGCGATGCGCGGATTTATAGGCTTGGCGTGGATGCATTTGTTTTGAGAACGCTGTATAAAGGAACGTGCGTTCGTATTTCTGATGCGTCTGATCAGTGCGCTGGAAATGGTATGGCATTGTCCCTGCAGATAAGCTCGCACTCATGAGAATCATAATAACTTTATTGGGCATTGCTCACTGAGCAATGCTGGATAAAGTTCGCTCCGGTGGTAATGGGAGATTACACTCCCCTTTCTATTGTATACATGTGTTTCATTGGCTATGTTATCTTGAGGTATTGAAGAAGTTATGTTGGTTGTTGACATCACTTCCAGTTTGACACCTATAAAATAAATGGAGCTTTGGTGGAGGGGTCCCTTGGACACAGAATAACCATCGTGAAGCATCTCGTCTGACTCTGCATGAGTGTTGCCTTTCCTTGCACAAAAGAGCTTAATAAAACTATGTGCTTTTAAGCACAGGGAAATTGTTTGTGTTTGGCGCACTTTTAGCGCGGCATGGATTTGTGCGTTTAGCCCAAGCGAATTTCCATAAAACAGACCCCTGATATTTACCTTTTAAAATAGAAAAAGATTGAGGACACAGGAATCCTCTATGAGTGTTCCTGTTCATTCATAGCATATGGATATAGTGTGTTTACTATAACCACAATGATGAATGAACAGGAGGTGATGTAGATCACTTCCCAGTCATTCATAATTGAGGATATAGTAAACATACCGTGTCTTCAATTATCTACAAACTCAGTGATCACTGAATGTATCTCGCTCTCCATCCTGACAGCTGTCACAGGAGGCTGAGCAGGGTGGTGCAGGGAGGAGAGCTCAGCCTCCTGTGACAGCGCGGGCTGTCTCCGCCCACACACCGCTCTGCCGAACTGTGACAGGTGGCTGAGCGGTGCAGGGAGCAGAGACGCCAAAAGTGCAATTTTCGGACGATATGTTTCGGCGCCCGTTATATCGGTGCATCCCTAGTTTGGCCCTAGTAAATAATATCCTAGCATCTTTTTGCTTATCCTGTTAGCCAGGTCCATAAGCTATACAAGTTATCATTGAAAGCTCATTCATGTTGTTATATTAGCCTATTTTATGTATTTTTGCCAGTATGCAGGTAAGAAAGCAAAACATATTGTGAAAGCTTTTGCAATATTAAGTTCACATTTAAGGCATACTGACAAAGAAAGCTTAAAGCGACACTAAACTCAGGAGTTAAATCTTAAAATTGCATTCAAGTACCTTAGCTAGTAACACAAATGTAGCCTATTTGTGCATTTAGTGAATTGATTTGTAAATTCTAATATAAATGCCATTTGCAACTACATTATTTAAATTTATGTATAAAAAGGTCTTTATTCAGAGTGTATGAATTCCAAACTCTGTCACTTTTATCTGAATATATGAAGGAAATTATTTTTGCAAAAGCTTGCATTGTAATGATTTAGTTAGCCATTAAAAAGTTAACATTTTGACAATATCTGTTACCTTTCACACCTGCACACATTTTACTCTAATATTTTCCTATGTAATACCTTGTCTTCTTTTTTCATGAGACCATGGAACATGAGAGAACAATCAACAGAAGGTCAGCATGGTCATTCACTTACAGAGCAGGTAAGCCCACTAATAGGCAGTGGAACTTAAATTGCTGAGAAATGAAACCTTGTATCTGTTATTGTGCTTACCAATCAGTTCTGTTAATAAAGATTGACAGATACCATCTTTTCTATGTCTACATCTAAATGCAGGACAATCTGCAAGATCAATCCTGTGGACGTCTAGTACAGAGAACCAAGAGAATGCATTCTCCAGGCTCTAATTGCCAAAGTAAGGCTGGCCATGTCCACAATAAGAAGCCTGGCCATGCCATGAAGAATAACAATACACCCTTACTTGGCCAAAAAAACATTGCCTTTTACAATATGATGTGACATGTTTGCACAACAAATGCATACACAGAATATGTAAAAAAAACTAAACAAAAACAAAACACAATATTGGAAAAATAGAAAAGATAGATAAAATTAAAAAAGATACTTGAAAAAAGAACTAAAAACATTCAAAATGTAGTTGTATATTATCTACTAGGGATGCACCGATACCAATACTAGTATCAGTGCCGATAACGAGTATTTGGCCGATTACTCGTACTCGCCCAAATGCCTAGCCCGATACTTCCTGTATCAGGAAGGTCGATTGGTCGGGAAGCTGGCCAATCAGGAAGACGGGCACCGTGTAAAGACTCCCTACCTGGCTTCCCGATTAACAAGGAAGCTGTCCCATGCTTCTCGTCACTGTGTGATGAGAAAGCATGGAGCCGGCTTCCCGGCCAATCAGGAAGCAGGGTGACGCGTCATTACACGCGCCCGGCTTCCATGATTGGCCAGCAAGCCGGCTCCATGCTTTCTCGTCACACAGTGATGAGAAGCATGGGACGGCTTCCTTGTTAATCGAGTCTTTACACGCTGCCCGGCTAATCAGGAAGCCAGGTGGCAAGTCATTACACGCCGCCTGGCTTCCTGAATGGGACTTCCGGTACTCGGTATCGGCAAATACCGGGGGAAAAAATACCGGGTACCAAAATACCGGTATCGGTGGATCCCTGTTATCTACCTACGGCTAAAAGTAATAATGTAAACATGTTGCTTTGACTCTAATTAAACTACCAACAATACTAACACTTGTGCTAGCACCCACTACTTTAATATGATTTTCAACTTCCTATAACATGACCAATGCACAGCGTAGTTGTTACTTTGTAATGTAAAAAAAGATTTCCATCTAACACTACCACAAAGCTTGTAATTCCGTGTGTGTGCCGTATGGAATTCTCTAGCAATAGAAATGCAGAAAACACCTGTACAAGAAGAGGAATTTTTGTGGCGTGGGTTACTCATAAACTAAAGTGTACCTAAACCTAAAACCATTTTTTGTTTTTGTTTTTAATAATGGCGTTTACCAGCCTAAAAAAATTGCTACACGCATTCACCCCACTGCATCTATGGAGGGAGCCATGGTTGTCATCCAGGCTCAACTTCCGATGAAGATCAGATTCAGATCACAGGAAGGGACAAGGATTTCTGGCAAGATCAACATGTATTTTCTGAAAACGTTCGCAGCCTGAATAATGAAAACCAATGCAGCCACCACATGTAAGAATATCACCATGCACAAAAAGTAGCAAAGAGGTCTTTTTTTTAACATGTACAGTAAATATATAACAAATTCTGACGCTCATGACATTAGTTGCTCAGAACAAAAAGGTAATAAAGATTGATGAGGACGTACCATTTAAAAAAACAGCCCTGACCTAGAAGTCAGCTTGAACAGAAGCACAGACTAACAAATTTGACCAGTGTTTCCACACAATCAAGCCCTCTCCCAATGCTATATGAGACTTGCATTTGTAGGGTGTGGGATGTCTGTTCCTGCTTCTGTTAAACTGAGGATTGCAAACATACAGAAGCCAAGTTGGGGAACTAACACTAGATTTTAACATGTTGGCTTCCTCATAACTCAAAGTTCAGTTTTTCTTTCAAATTTCATGCTTGAACATCGACTCTGTTGTAGCATACACTTACAAGTCAATTAAAAGAAATTAAAAGAAACACCAAGCAATAAAGAAAAAAATCAGGCTTCAAGCTCAAGAACACTTCTGGTATTTCTTGCCCATTTCACTTCTCCTCTTCCCAAGAGCAACAAGAAAGAAGAGAGAGCAGTCAAGAGATGGTTAGCATGCAGGGTAAAGTTAATAGCAGATCCATGGAATAAAACTCCACAACAGGGTCAACCGGGTCTTCATGCCAAAGTAATCACTACAGGGCACAACAAGTCCTGCCCCTGAGCATGCAGGCACTGGCATGCAGTTTCATCAGGGGCAGGAGTACAGAACAAGGAGGGGGAATAGGTACTGGAAGAAGAGGGAATCAGTAAGGATAAGAAAAATCAAACTGGGGTAAAAGTAACTGGAAAATGGGACAACTCATGCCACGTACCTTGCTCAGCCAAGTTGGCAGCGCTGGTTGCGGCTGCAACGGGGGCGGAGCTCTGCCTGCCAACTGATTGGACAAAATCATTCAGTGGGAAGAGCCGCAACAAAAGCCCATATGGAGCAACAATAAAAGCAAGATGCAAGTCAAATAAGCATTAATTAAAAAAAAAAAGTATGACAAAAATAAAACAAACATTCTGTGAAGGTTCAATAGACTTTAAATGCACATGTACATTAATTTCATGTTTGCCTAGAGAAGTGGTAGGGGTAGAACTTGCAAAGCACAAAAGATAAAAGCCATGTCTTAAGTGGTGCTGGAGGAAAAAAAAAAAAATCAAAATAGAATCAAGCAATAACACCAATTATATTTCACCCTCAAGCAGCGAGTGGTAGCCAAGATTGTATGCAAAGCGAGCTTCATCTCTCATTTAACTTCGTGGGTGGCTGAATGATCAGACAGAAAGCAAAAGGATGCTAAGAAATGCAATGTCCCCACCTGTAGTGTTTTCCTTTTTCTCTCTTCTGTTACCTCCACCTAGTTTTCAATTATAGAAAACCCATTAGATGTAACATGGTCACACTACATTTGGACATGCTCTATCTGGCTTTGCATAGACACATGCTGGAATTAAGCACATTTTAAATACTCTAATGTGCTGAAAGTTCCCCCAGAACTTCTCAAGCAAAAATATAAAGAGCAAAGAAAAACTACTGCAACAAGCATAGAGGGCAGCAATGGAAGAGATGGATAGGATGAGAGTTTCTGAAAAGGAAGATTCAGGGAAAAGTGAAGAATTGTGGGAAGAGGAGGAAATTGTGGCAATAAACCATAGTGGCTCCATTGCAATTCTACCACTCCTGTATAGTGGATTAAGGCACTGGAGGAGAAAGGAAACATTTTTTTTACACACAAATCATAAAAGTTACAAGTGAAATAATAATAATAATGAAAGACAGAAAAGAACACATTTGGTTAAGTCACAAATGCAGCTTTGTAAAATGTAAGGCACATCTGACATTTAACATTACATTTTTCAAAGAAACAACTACTTTTATTATCATTTTAATCTATAAATCCAAGCATAATGGTCACTTGTGTACCCCTCTGTGAAACTTGTCAGCTAGAATTTTCAAGGTGCAAAGGAGATTTGCCTCCAACGGTATATTGGCATATAATTTTTTTTATGTGACAAATTGAAAACAATCCTTTTTAAAAAATTATAACATACAGTAAAATATTTGTTTATCTCTGTAGTTCTAATGCTTGTCTACTCAACACTTACCATGCATAGAATCTTAATTATCCAAAATGTGGTCGCTAATTCAAATGCATAGAAAAATTCTAGGGGCAAGATAGTGGCTGTGTAAATCTTTATCATCCAGAACAGGGGCAAACTGTATGCAGAGGACCTGTAGTGTGGGAGCAGTACTGATAGGTACTAGAGGAAAGGCTAAGGTTTTATGGCTGATATGCTTTAAAAATGGGGTGGAGCTATGAAATAAGTTAGTAGAGGGTAAAAGTATTATCTTAAACAGTTGTGTTATTAAAAGACTTTACAGCTGTGAACTGGTCACTAGTAGAAAGCTCAAGAAAAGTTCCTAGATGGCCCGTCACGGGTTCGTTCATAAAGTGTAATGTATTTTTTTAATGTTTTAAATAATAAAGATTTTTGAGTTATTCATTATGGCAATTTTTGTCTAAGTATTGTTTAAAAGGGAGGAGAAAACGCGAAAAGTGCTTTTACTCTGTTATACACATACACAAGTGCTTTACTTCCAGCTTGAGAGATTATGTGATGGGGTAGGGGGAAAACTGCTCCAGGTATAACACATTGGCAGTAGCCTCCTACACACACGTCATGGCTGAATCCCAGGCCATTTAGGCAGGTATGGCTCCAACGTTTCCAGGCAATGATGCTGCTAGTCTTCATTTACACACTTATCTATTAGTATTTCACTACGATGGGCAGCTTACTGGCTAGTAGGAATGTGCAGGAGGTAAGAGGGGGCAGGCAAGCTTTGTCACTATGAAAAAATGTCTAAGCTTTGGCTGTCAGAATGGCTGGCGATCAGATTGCGACAGGAGGGTGTGAAAGGCTGCAGCAATTATATGTAGGTGTCTGCACTTTACCCCCTTCCCCAACTTGAGCGTCTGTTTCAAAAGCCTTCTAGTGCTAGCATCATATCTCATTCATCTGGAAAGAAAGGACTGTACATGCTCCCTAGTGACAGCTTTCTTATGACCCAGAAACACTTGGCATCAAATCTCATGATCATGTGGATTTAGAGGAGACAGCTGTTGGTCAGGTTTTATTGGTAACAGAGACTCCATTTGTGGGTGCGGAGTGTCCAGCACTTGGGGGTGGACTGTAAAAATGTAGGGGCCTCAAATCTTAACTTTGTGCCTAGGGTTAGCTTTGTATCTGTAATGATAACACTGTGTAATTTAAAGCCAGGAACCACTTGCCACAAACAATACAAGGTTGTCAAACTACTTTTAGAAGAAGTCCGGAAGCACCAGATCCTTGCCCAGATGGATTTGGCATGCATTAGGAATGTTCCAAATATAAATCCGGATGTGATGCTTGACATAAGCATCTGATCACATGCAGATTCATTGTGAGAAAGGGACACACTGTTGTCTAAAAAAAGGACATAAGCAGATCACATCCTTCAAATGATACAAACAGTTGGCTGCTCTTTTTTTTAATCTCCAAACACATCCCATTTAAGAGGTATGATACATATGAACAGAAACTGTATTTCAGCCTACAGATAAATCCTAAATCTAGATAATAGAATAATAAATAATAACTGTAACCGAAAAGAAGAAAAAGAGTGACATGACTTGTCTACAAAAGCTTTCATATGCAAAAATCAAGCTCCACTAAGCTTGTCCTAATCTACCCAAATCCTGTCCAGACCTGCCTACCACACGTGTATGTCATCTACACTGCAAACATATTCCTGAGCCCTGGCCCTTTGAAAAGGTCAAATAGTGGAAATGTTAGGACATGTGCAGTAAATAAAAAGAACAATAATATTTCACCAACACAGGGCAAACTTATTCTCTACCAGGAAATAAATGTCATGTAAACAGCAATGATTTATTTTATGTGGAAAATAACAATACAGAAAGTAGGTAAACTGTGCTACCTCTTTATTTAACTACAATTAAATAGAATTTGTTGGCAATTGTATGATGCCTCTGTATTGAAGAAATCAGTAAGTTTAAGCCGTTGGCCAAGGCATCCACATTCTACCTTTGATGCACCAGACATAAAAAGGGAGAATCTTAATGGTTGCAAAGGGTGATACAGGCTTTCAGTAAAGCTGGCCATGGGTAAATTTCAGTCAGTGATGAACCGACCGAAATGCTCTCCCCCCCCCCACCACCACACACACATCCTTGGTCTGACAATTGGATGAGATGGGAAGTAAATTGTCGACCAAACAGTAACTGCAGTTGAAGTCAATGTTTGGGTATTCTGACAGCAGCATAACACTGTTTAGTGTTGATGGAGGAATCTGTCAGGTTGAACAAAAAAATCTACTAGTGTATGGCTAGCTTACCTCTCAAATATTGTTCTACTTTGGTACCAAACTGCAAGGTCAGCTTCACAGTAATGCTTAGTGTTTCTATGCTTTTAATTTATAGGTATACTAAAGCTGTGTTAACTGCTCACATACAAGGAAAGTCACTGCCAGCACTGAAATATAGTAAAAATACAGTGCTGCCATAAACTGAAAAATTTGGCAGATTTGTTTCAAGGTGTAACCAAAAAAATGCACTGTTAAAAGTAACACCGATTACGGCAATGAAAATCTTTTGCCTAATACTGAAATATTTAACAGGTGATGAACTTACTGTCACCGAAGACGAACATATGAATGCAACCAATTTAAATAGACAATGTAGACAGTATGAACCTTTAAGATAAGTCTACTTTTCTACTTATGTCTACGTCTGAGGTGGCATATGAAGATATATCTATATAGTCACCACCAATCCTCTGTATATATCCACACAAGGCCACGACAGTCTCAAAGTTTGCTTACCACCAACATGATCTGTGCAGCAAATATTAAACTTTGCCTTTTCTTCAATCTTATAAATGCAGCCTTATGTGATATATGCTTTTCATTTTGTCAGATTATAAATAATATAACTATATAATATCTTAAATGTATCTCAGGCCAGTGGTTGTGCTATTGCAGGCATGCACTGACAGTAAACAAATGCTTCAGACTTTCGAAGAAAAATTCCAGGGAGCGTTAGGTCATGGAAAATATTAAATTCCATGTCCCTTAAGCTGCATGTGCCAGCAACAAAAATAAAACAGGTGGGAATGAATGTTATACTCGCTGTGGTTCAGGCCTACATACTGAAGAAGCTGGACTATTATCTGAAAAGCTTACTTTTCATGTGTGCACAAAATGATGCAGATGGGTTACTTCCCCTCAGTAACACTACTCTGAACCCTAAATCTGATTGGTGCTTGTGGGGAGATAACAGGCTCATATCGCCACCAAGTTAGGCCTAAAAAAGAATTGTTGAAATGCATGGTCTACCAGACCATCTAAGTATTAATAGTTCAGCTGTAACTCAAATTTGTATTAAAAAAAAACCTAGTGTAAGGACCTTGAAGAAATTACAAAACACTTCCGATACCCATTTCAGGCTTTGTACACTACTATGGCTGCCACTTCAATCATAAGGCTGGATGGAGCTTGGGATGCCACTTCCACGGTGCCTTGACAGAGGACCAAGTGTGGCACATTGTTCCTACAGAGACGTCTGTCTAAATAACCCCAAAAAGACACCACTGAGAAAAGCAGATGGTCAGTGGTACTTAAAGCTGAACTCTGGGTACAATCAACTTACTTGTTTAATAGCAGTTAAAGGCTTTGATTACTCAAAAGCCACGTCCTGTAATTATTGCGATCTTTTAAATCTAATAAATCATCTTGCTTACATGTGTATGGAAGTAAAGCACCCACTGTACTCAGATGCCTGCTCAGATGTAAGCACTGCAGATTCCATAGACCTCGGCGCGCTAGGGTCGCATCTTCACCCCCCTTTCCTCCTGACCTTTCACAAAACACAGTCCAGGCTCCATTTTCTGAATGGCCTGGACGAGAGGGGGACTGAGATGTGACTATATTCAGAGGTCTATTGAGAGCGAGCGGGCACAAAGTACAGTTGCACTTACATCTGCATGTAAACAAGAAGATTTGTAGGGAGAAAGCAGTCAACCTAAGAGGTGGTTTTTATGTAACCAAAGGCTTTAACTGCTACAACACAAGTTTATTGGATTTTTAATTTTAAATCTGCGCTTAATGGATAATCTAAGATGTCAATTGAAAGCTGTTGCACTATAGACAACTAAGTCCAGATGAATGTTTTACCAGATATACAGAGCTAATCATATAAAAATAAAAAATAAATCTAACTCTGTGATAACCTATTCAAGTGTATATACCATCTATTATTCCGTCTAAAATCTACCATCTGTGATGTGATTGTGGACAAATAAATGTACAGTTCAAGTGAATTCTCTTAATGTGTTTCTAACATCTGTACGTAAACATTAAGAAAGCTGCAGAGCATTTTTTTTTAAAAAGCTACGAAAGAGAGTTAACCTTTTTCTGCAAACTGAAAAAAGAGTAGCTTATTTAGGGACTTACAGTCCTCAGCAAACTTACATTGGGGAGCATTAGGCCTGGAAAAGCTTGAGACCTTATCCGAAATCAAGAGGGCTAAAACAGACTACTCTTTTCAGGGCAGGTGAGTGAGGCTGGCGCATCTATGACAGCAATTCCTGTAATGACCAGCCCATCTCAGCAAGGCTGATTTCAGAGAAGGTCTCACACGATCTCAGCTAAATACATTCCTCCAGTGGAATGTATTTAGCTGAGATCGGTAAATAATTTCATAGTTCCTCTGATAAGCAACTGTATATACTTCATCACTTTCCAGGAAAACCTCATTAAAGACGGCAACTCTGGCCAATCAAAAACTGGTAGGAAGAAAAATGTTAGTTACAATGAGTAAAGAAATACATTTCCAACCTCAGTTGTATTGAGTCAGTCTCCTCCTCTGACTGTAGCTGCTGATAGGCAGCACACACAATAAGCCAAACCACTTGGCTCTATCAATCTCACATCTGTAGGTCCTGAACCAAACACTGCCTCAGTTTGAAATCACTATTTCCGCTAACTTAATTAAAATCATGTCTGTACTTGTTACAATTATGTGCAGCAGCTGTTTTGTCAGTGCTTCACATCAAAGCAGCTTCTTTTCCATGCCAAACTTACCTGAAAAATTCCGAGATACCAGCATTGTAGTGAGAATTGCACCCTAGAATTGAAACAAAATAAAGATTACCAACCACAGTTCTGTATTGTAAAATAAGCAGACCATGGATTTGTCATAGATGTCATTGATTTTAAAAAGTGGGGGCCTTCCAAAGTACCTTATCAAACATAAACAATAATGTATGCTACCCCCAAAATCCATTTATAAATTGTATCATACTGCATGCAAGTGTTTAGATGTGCGAGTGAAGGTGTTGCAATGCAAGATTCCAGCAGATGTGGTGCTGCTTGTGTAAGCTGGAAATGAAGACATCACTCATGGACAGCGGCAAGCACCCAGTTGACACCATCGCAGGGGTGACACCAAAATGACCGACAGTCATTTTGGTGTCACCCCCTCTAAAAAAAATCAGGCACTCGGTCCCGGCGGCATACCTCACCCCCCCCCCGGGTGAATGTCCCCTCCTCTCTCTGCCAGCATCCATCACCAAGATGGCCGCCGGCAGGCATCAATCAGAGGGCCACGCATGCGCAATGACATAATCGCGCACGTGTGAGATGACGTCCCGCGCGATGACGACACGGCGTGGTGTCACACAGTCTGGAGACCGGGTGACACCCGGCCTCGGGACGCCACTCCTCATGGAAAGGATGAATAGATACCTTCATGTTACTATTAGAGGGATTCAGAAAAATGTCCTGTTGTTCAATCAAGGGAAAGCTCCTTAAACCATTACAACAGAAGACAAAAGTATAACAGTAATGTAAAACTGGAATGTGAAAAGTCTCTGCCTAATACATTTTCTAGTTCTGGATTAAGTGAGGAAGGATTAGAATTTGTGTTGGGTTTTTATTAGTATCTGGGACATTGCTAGACAGATTTTATCTCATTTCCTGTCCTCTAGATAATGGTTTCATCAGACAGGAAGTGAGGAAAAACTCTGCAACACAGACAAATACAAAGCTGACAGCCAAGCCTTTCCTTACTTTATTCAATACATATTGAATAAAGTCTGTCTATGTTGCATTTGGTGAGTTCCCCTCAGTTCTTCTCTGGTAAAACTCTGGTAAAACTGCACGGTAAGAAGCCAGAGGAAACCTCTCTAATGGAACCCTGGAGAGCAGTAAAAAAAAACAACCCAACAACAACAAAAAACCTGACAGGGGCTCTAACCCGTTCCCACTCTATCCAAAACTAAGAAAATAAATGACTAGAAATTCACTTTAAAATAAAAACATATGATGGCAGGTATATGGTTCTTGTAGAGGAGACTTTATTAGCCTCTTCTGCCAAAAATCTGCTTTACTTGTCTGCTATTGAATCTTTACCTTGTGTACACTACTTGCAGCATATGCACAGTGCACTATAGACTCCCAGCCCATTCTGGCATCTCTACGATTAAGATAAAATAAAGCCGGGTGTCGGGACAAAGTAACTCCACCATGCAAGTGAAAGAGTTACATCAGTGGCCAACCAAGGGTCAAAGAGAGAAGATGCAGGACCCAAAAGAATACCGAGAGAAGAAGCAATGAGGGGAGTGGAGACTTTACATCACTGGAGGAGGCCAGATTAGGGGGTAGGTCTGGCATGCTGTGCATACCTGCAGCTTTTGCCAATTACCTAACAGAACCAATTACCTAACACCACTCTTTTCATTTCCTCAAGTCTTACAACATGAGGCCCACTATCCTGCAGAAACATGCCAATATAAAAAAAACAAAAAAAAAAAAAACTCACTTTAAGCTTTCTCCGTGCATTGAATTTCCTCAGGCATTCTACAGTCTCTTGTCTGTGCATCATTGAGGCAACTGTTGATCGTTGCTGAAAAGAAAAAACACAATTACTACATGAACAGATATAAACCACGGCATTGATGACTGGATATAATTAGAACAAGTGACCACGTTATGTAAATTTTACCCAAACAATTACAGCTTTTTGGAGAGCTGACCCATATGTCTAACTAGATATGAGTCAGCACAGTTGAAAAATATATGCATAACTATCAAATAATTCTTCATCTCTCATTTTAGCCTCTGAAAGAATTCCTAAAAAATTGTATTAAAAAAATCATCCAACAACAGCCCAGACAATGTCAACATTCCCCATTTGGACAAGCGAGAAACCAGCATTGACACTTACGCAGACCCATGGGTGCTTCAGAGCCTGATCTGCTGTGATGCGTTTTGCTGGGTTTATTGTCAGCATCTGGTTGATTAAATTCTTTGCTTCCGGAGTCACGGTGTCCCACTCAGGTGAAGGGAACTTGACAGGAAATGTTAATGTAACAAGAAGCACATGTTAGTTAGATTCCCAAGTCACACAAAACTCGAAACCCCGCTACCACCCCTTCCGACGATGCTCCACAAGAGAGTGAAGCATTAAACTACTTTATGGTATAGACAGTGCATAAAATCTTTACTTATTTCTTTACTTATTCTGTCATATAATAAACACCTAACATGTAAACAATATATGTAATTTTACCATGATTGCCTACAATCATACAAGTATTCAAAACAAAATCTGCAATATTAATGGTGAAATGCTTAGGTCATGTAATACTGGAGTACCCCAACTGTATTATAATTCGTGCTAATCTATAAAAAAAACAACAACATATTTATCAGGTTGTGCCCTTTTGAGTTCTATTTGGCATCTTAAAAACTTAATAACTTGATCATTTAAATATGAGCGGGACTGGGAAAGTGACTTAAAAATGTAAGCAAGTGGCACAAGCATTGCTACTTTTTTTCCTTTCCCCTTTTGAAAATACTAAGTAACTCACTGGCTTCAATACTTTCCAAGTCACTGACCTGAAACAAGTAAAGAAATTGGAAAAAAGTGAGAAGTCATCTACATACTCCTACTGGGTCAGTGACTATGAGCATTGAAGCACAGTCAGCATGATAACCAAGAAACTCAAATTTTCTGAAAAGGCCAGAAATGGCAGCCGCCTTGATTCTCTTATGACATGTGTCCTTTGATAAGCAGATAATAGGCACAATTTTCTAACCTAGTCAACCGATATCCCAACAGCAAGCTGTAAACAATCTGTGGTCAGAAAATTGTATGACTGCTTTGGCTTCAATTGGATCACCCTTTATATCTTACTAATATAACTGTCAAATACTCAGCTATATTTCCAAGCAAATACTACATAGAACACTGCTTCTAAATTGCTCTTGACCTAGGATGTGTTAACAGCTTGTAGGTTCCCTATGTGTACAAAAAACACTTTTATAAACCACAGAATGCACTTTAAATTACTGTGATCCGCTGGGAATAACTTACATCATATGCTCCAGCTTTGATTTGCTGGTAGAGCTTATGCTGATCTTCATCCCAGAAAGGAGGATAACCCACTAATAATATGTACAGGATGACCCCTAAAAAAGAAAAATGGTTACCGACATATAGCAATTCCTAGCATGTCTGAACAATTTCAACCACTTCTAATTCTGAACAGATTTAAAGCTGAACTACGTGCTAACAGCTACATACACTGCATATATGTACACTGAATGGTTCAGCTGGTCTTTTAATCCAGGAAACCCTGCCAGACCGCATATCCAGGCCTCGGACTTCAATTACATTTCAACAGTACAAATCTGGTCTAGGAACCATCCCAGCCTGCAAAATGTAAAGTGAAGGAGCAGCAGCACACTGATGAGGTCATCTGTGCACTCTCTCCTTATCTTAGCACAACTGCAGTGACACTGCAGACAGAATATTGTTATATTGAATATAGTTATATACTGCATCTGTTAGGGTACAGCAACATCCCTTAGGACAAGAGGTATGTTAGGACTACAGAACTCCTCTCTGTCTGCTCATTCTTCATTACATAGAGGGGATGTTATCAGTTCACTGCAGGAAATTACAAGCTCACTGGAATTTAGGAAGAATCAACAGATATATTTTGTACTTTAAACAAATGTAACATTGCTTTCATTGGCATATTTACCAAACCCAAAGGAAAATTGGAGAACTTTGTTAGGATTTACATACACTTCCGGAAAATAAAAGAACTCTGTGTGAATTTGCTTGCTGTACATATGCTCAAAATAACAGATGTTGTGTAGTACAATGAAAACAGATCTAGTGCACACAGAAAAGTTAAACTACTAACCACAGGCCCATATGTCAACTGGCTTTCCATAAGGGTCTTTCCTTAACACCTCTGGGGAGAGGTAGCCTGGTGTGCCAGCAAAACCTGGAAAACAGAGAAAGCATCCTCATTATACAGCATTTTCTTGGTCTTGTGCAACAGCCTGTCCCTTTTTGCAGGCAACATTACTAATACTGCAGTATTGTAAAAGTAGTTTTCACTGCAGCCATAAGGGTATAATATAACATTTTAATGCTGAGTTTAAAGATCCAAGACAAAGCAACCAGAAAAAGGCCTTATATCACATGCATGCAAAACATAAAAGCCAGCAGACACTTTTAAAGCCTACATATCCATGATTTTATGTACTTTAGCATTTTTACAACAATGGGCGTGTATCTTTTTTCAACCTATTTCTACATTTGGTACTGTTCCTATGTATTGTAATACTGCAACATGATTGTATTGGGGCACATTACAAGAGTCAGGTGACTACCTAGTACCTTGGAACAGCTACTGTAATGTGGATAACATATTCTGCTTAAGGTAGTCATTTAATTGATAATCGGACTATGCATACTTACCAAACCATGCTTGTTGGTCTCCTTGGACTTCAATGGCAAGACCAAAATCAGCCAGTTTCACAGCAGCCCCCTTGCATTTGCTGGCCAATAACAGGTTCTCAGGCTACACAGAAATGAAGAGTTAATTGAGTTCAGAGAGAACTGGACATTAAACTGTTAAACAAAAAAATGAAAAAAAGCACTATATTCAAAAAATATCTTTTTAATGTAACTAAAAACAACATGCTGCAAGTCTACGAGCTAGTGATAATACCAATAAAAACTAAAATAACGTGCGGAATCCTAGAAATGTAAATAGTTGTAATAACAGCAGAGATCACTAGGTGGCAATCATAACACTTTAATGTAGCAATGCAGAGGTATTAATCTTCCCACTACCTCAGCTATCTAGTGTTTTGCTTGTCTTATGATTAGCCCAAGAAGCTTATGTGTAAGTGCTTAGGAGTAAGAAGACGGTAATGCTCTGGTGAGTGAAGGGAACACCACTGCTAGTAGATGTGTAGGAGAAAACTGAGGTGAGGGAAAGAGAATAAAAGGGCGGTTGGTTAATCATGTGTATGCAATTTGTAAGTATTGTGCGTTGAGTGTTGTAGAGCCTATGAAGTTGTAAGTTTCAAGCTGCTCATAATATGAAATTTGATGTTTGACCCAAATAAACAAAGCTCATCCTACTTATAGTACTTGTCATATGAAATGGCATTCTAAACAAAGACTTTTAGATGTACTTTCATTATAGAGGACTAACATCCTATTTTTGTTATAGTCCTGAATACACCTAACTGAACAGTTTGCCCCAAACTCACCACCCTAGGATTAGGGAAACACAGAAATTTTAGCCACTGAAACATTTCGGCCAAAAATGTCGATAGTACCAAACGAACGAAAATGCTGTGCATCCCTAGCCTCACTCCTCCCTGCTTGGTGCTGGTCTGTGTCCCCTCTGATCTCCACTGCCTGTGTCTGCAAAGGCAGCGGGAATCTGAGGGGACACAGCTGATCCAGCTGCCGGCATCCAGTAGGGAGGAGAGAAGCTGTCAGGAGGCCGAGTGGGGTGGTGCAGGGAAGAGACATCTGTCAGGATGCAAGCGGAGAGGAGAGCTCTGTAAGGATGCTGAGTGGGGCGAACTCGGCTCCTGTGACAGGTAGAGAAATCCGGTTGGAGAGCAGAGCACAAACATTCAGTGATCAGTACTGATCGCTGAGTTTTTGTAAATAACTGAGGACATAGTATGCTTACCATGTCCCCAGTTATGAATGAACAGGAAGTGCTATAGATCACTTCCTGTTCATTTTATGAATAGGGACATAGTACATACTATCTGTTCACTTTATGAATGAACAGGAAGAAGCTCAGTACAGAGGCTTCCTCTCCATTCATAACTGGGTTGATGGTACATATTTACCATCTCCAGATTGTGAATGAACAGGAAGCCTCTGTACTGAGCTGGGCTGCAGAAAAAGAGATTAGGGACTGTGTTCTCAATCTCGATCTAATTTAAAAGGGAAATATCAGGAGTTTGTTTAGACAACCTGATATTTTCCCAAAGCCCCTAACAGTATAGTAAAAAATTATTTGAAAAAATGTAAATGGGTTGGGGAAAAAAAGTCGTTTTCAGTTTCAGCCTGACAAAATTTATACTTTAGGCTTCGGTATAGAAATTTTATTTTGGTGCATCCCTACCTGGGAGAGTAATTATATACAACTGATGTTAGAATAAGTTGGGAAAACTAATACTACCAACTATGCATAAAGCGCTGTGCAAACTGTTGGCGCTATATAAATCCTGTATAATAATAATGCTTCATCCTACAATTCACCTGTCATAAACCCTTTTCAGGACCCGCAGCATGTGCTTTCCCCTCCATGTATTAATTAGATCTCGGAAGAATCATTTTTAGTAGAGGAGACTGACACGCAGGCTACAGATGTTACATCACAAGCCGAGGATGCAATACATGGAGGTAAGGTAATTTGGAAAAACTAATACTACCAACTATGTTTCATCCTTATTCACCTGTTAAAAACACTACTCCTGAACCTGCAGCCTACACCTTAATCTCCATGTTTTTAAAAAGTAGATCTAGGTGGAATAATTCTTAGTAGAGGAGACTGATGCACAGGCTGTTCTATCAGAGGACAAGGATTAAAAAGGCCTGCCTCACAAATTCAGTGTCAGATTTCTTCTCACCAAACAAAAGCCAGCCTGTCCAGAAGTGATGGCGTAATTTATTATTAACTAGCTAGGCAAGAGTCCAAGGATGGATACCTAAAGCAACTGAAAATAACACTTCCACTAAAAGTGCACAATTTCTCCAAAAGACTAAACACATGAAAGAGCAGAGATTACCTTCAGATCCCTGTGGACAATGTCATGTTGGTGGATGTGCTGGACACTCTCCAGAATCTGGTGAATACAGTGGCTGCAAAAACAAAAGTAATTGTAAGAATTCAGCAAACAAATAAAAAGTGGATTGTGTCTAGTTGCGGACCAGTAGGAATTAAATTGAATAGTACAGATACAGAGTAAGGTTATATGATTTTCTGTAATTCATTTACTACTATTTGTGTGATTTTTTTTTTTTATTCCAGAAGATGTTAAAGCAATAATCTATTTTATAATGGCAGCTCTCAAGTAAGACAAGAGTGGATAAAATAGAAAGCTGTAGCCCACAACGACCAGTCCAACTACATATCTTTCTATTGGCAACAGCCCTGTGTTTTTTTAGTTTCTCTTTTCCTAATTTATCCCCCCCGAGTGGTACAATAGGCTTTTGTTAACCATACATAATGCAACACTAAAAATTACTCCATATAATGGGGAGAAAAATGACTATTACATTTGACTAATATAACACTAAATATTTTAGCTCCTCAAACACTCCCTTCTTCTAGCATGCATCTATAACCTTCTGAACAAAAAATACCAAAGACCTTTCTTCCCTGATTCAAGCCCTTGTCAGAGAGCCAATGGAAGGCTCTGATGTACAGGCCTTCCTCACAATGAATGTAATGACTTTTTTCATCATTGAAGGTGTGGGGAATGCAAACATTGCATGTCCCCGACAGGGCAAGGATCAGACAAGAATCACCGTGGGAACACATTCAGCATCCCACACTGAAGTGGTGGTGTCCACTGAAGCATGGCACTAGGGTAAGGAACAGGAGTCACAGCACAGACCAAAGGAATCTTCAGCTGTTGACTCTGGTGGCCATTTTGTGTGAGGCCATTTTCTATGTTCAATAACATGGGGTTCTTGGAAGAATTTGACAATAGCAATGGGCATCAGGACCTTGATCACCTACACTGGAACGCACAGTACCTCAATGCCGTGCGTTCCAGTGCAGTCTGATTGCAAAAAATAGTGCATGCAGTTTTATTCTGAAGCAAACTTACACTGCATTTGTATATTTTATTTTAAAGGATAGTATTTAGTTTTCTTTAGCCGACTAATTGATTATGAAAATAATCATTAGTTGCAGCCCTAATTTATAGGAATGCATGTCAATAATTGCCAGCTTCCTACAGAAACAAATAACTTGAAAATGTAGATCAATCACTTCAATTTTAGAAAACAAATCGTGGCACAATTTGTTTGTAATGTTAATTACGTTCAACTGTTTTCGGCAGAAAATGTTTGACAACCACTGATTTTTAGGAACATATCTGCAGGGTGTAAAAGCAATCAATCACTTTAGTGACAACTGCTCTCCAAACTTAGTGGTGTAAATATTAGGTGCACACCCAGCTATCTTGTCCCACATTACAGTGGAAGTTTACATAGAAATAGAAAATGTGCGAACAGGCAGACGTGTTATTGCATGTATCTTCTGTAACAAAGTATTCTTAGCTGCCTGGTCACAATCTTCACGAATGTACACTGAGCTGCACATGCCTAGCTCAGTGTACAATATTGGCTTATGACGGGATCAAAGGAGTCCCGCAAATGCTTTGGAGTGACGTCATTAGGGCACTGCAAATCAAGATGGCCAAAGATTCCAAGCTTGGAAGGAGTCCCACCCAAGATGTTGGTGCTGCTGAGGGAGCTCACAAACGTTGCACTGCTGAAGGGGAGGCGAATATTTTAAGCCAAAGCAATCAGCAGATTGAGATGTAGTTAGAAGTTACCTGTAGCTAGAAGTTACCGGCACTTTGAAAACCATTTAGACTAAAGGAAACAATATTAAAAGCAGTTTATCTGGAGGTAAATTTGCTCAGAAAGATGCCTGAAGGAACCTGCCACAAAGCTATTTAAAAATAAAATTAGAGAATTCAGCCAGTTTTATCTGCTAAGGGAGCTCACTTCTCCTAAAGAGCAACATCACACAAACAAATGGTGGGGCTTGTCCAAAACTTGTTTGAGGACACCAAGAGTTTTGGTTCCTCCAATGATGACATAACTAATGTACAGGGGTGTGTATGACTACAGTGTTTAAAGTGACACTACATTTAGGAGTTAAACCTTAAAAAGTACCTTAAAGTTATATAAAAGCTTCATTTGTTTTTTTATAAAAAGGAGGCCCATACTTGTAGAAATCCTTTGTTGTTTTTCATTAAAACAAATCTAATTTCCTCATTCTCTAGTGGGTCCACGCAGCGCTTTCCCCCCACACCCGTGCCTTCATCAGCTAAGCGGCTGCTATGGAGACACCCACGCGTGCTTGTTCCCAGCCGTGCCCGCAAGTGGCTGTGTACGTCTATAGACAAACACAGCCCTGTGGCAGACCACGTCCCTCCTCTCCGCCAAACAGGATGATTGACGGCAGAAGGAGCATATGGCTCCTCTGCCCTCACTCTCCTCTCCCGCAACCAGGAAGTGTGGGACGGAGGATCGCTTTGAGACCAGCTGCGGTGACAGGTAAGTGTGGGGGGGACACAGAAAGGTACTGGTTTTTTTTTACCTTAATGCAGAAAATATATGAAGGTAAACATTGCCCAGCCTTTAATAGTCCTTTAACTGTAATCAAAAATGCTGTTTTTTTGTGCATTACTCAGCTGTAGAACCTCACATCTCTGAATTTGGAGGGTGGCTACTTTTGCTCCCCATGGTCACTGTGTGTTTTGTAAAGTAGAAATCGCTCTATGCTCACTCCCATGATGAACTACAGTCTCAATACAAATTAGTAAACTAAACGTGAGATTGTAGTCCATGACGGGAGTGAGCTTGGAGCGGTGACTACTTTACAACACACACAGGGGGCAATGGGGAACAAAAGTAGCCACCCTCCAGAAGGAAGGACAGTGTCAGCACGAAATCAGAGATGAATTGAGGATATACAGTGATGCACAAATAAGCTACATTTTTGTTATTAAGGTACCTGAAGCTATTTTAAGGTAATTGGGGTCACTAGGGAGATTATATGCCTGTAGAAAAATCTGCTAGTCCCTCCTTTGCCTGTGTCAGAAGGCACAGCTTTGAGTCATTTCTCAGGAAAGTAAAAAAAAAACGATTCCGTTAAACGCCAGATAAGTTTGCGAAATGTACATACAGAATCTATAATGATTAAGCAAAGTATTTAGTAAATCCTGCAGAAGAGCACATACAAGCCAATAAACTCAAGTCATCAAGAGGAAAAGCCCTTCAATGCTTTGAACATCTTCCTCTTCACAGACATATCCATCAAAAGATACAAGCATACAATTACATGGAGAAGGGAAGTGATTTCCTCCAGAATGATCACCACACACACCCTATTTAAAGGGAAATAAATATTTCACTTTTATCATAACCTGTCAGTGACTACTAATCTCTCTTTGAAACACAATTGCTAGAAGGCTCCGCTGCTGCGCATCTGCACACTTCAGCTCTGCCTTGCCGTTGGGAGCACAAAGGGTTTGTTCGAACACACATCACGGCAGAGTTCTTGAAAATTTGTTGCTTAGCAACCGGCGCAACAGCCTTTTAGAAGAAGATCAGATACATTCTGCTCGTCTCATTTTCCTCAGCTGCATATTTAACATATTCCTATAAATCTCTGCTGAGGTTAAAACAAAGAAATGCAGGAGCATGTTGCTAACATTATGATCGTACTTGTTCTTGCTTCAGAAAGGAATGAAACATGGATTTCTGTGTAAGCTCAACTCTGAAATCCCCAGGTCGGAATATATGTAGCCCTACTGTTAGTTTCCACTGTTACCTCTTGACATTCCAATAGTTGCACAACAGTCTTTAGAACTGGTTTCCTAATAGCTACACTGGCCCAGGAGAATCAATGGATATTTTTATGAGCCCCAGAGAATTCTTGGGGGAAGAAAACATATAAAAAGGTTCATTTGATTCTGGCTGGATTCCACTGTTTAAATGGCATTGGTGAAAGCAAACTAAATATGAAGTCATCTTCTCGAGCCTAATGACAGAAGTATTATTTATTTTTTTGTCAGGCTTCAATACATTGTTGTATGAAATGGAAATGCCTTCGATCCCACAAAAAGATTCAGCACTACTGCAATTAAAATTCAGCTTCAGTGGCTCATAAGTCTGGGTTCTGTTCTAAGGAGTGCTAAGAAACTATTGAGTAGCAAATTCATATTTTGTCTTTCAGGTTACATAAATCTAGTGTTTTCTATACCTGCAGTTATACTGCATTGCTGAATAGAAGGTTGCTTGCCCTGGTGGCAGGACTTAAGGGAAGGAAAGCACTGCATTATTGGATAACAGACATCCATACATCTGAACAGACAGAGGGATTGATTGACTAAAGGCAAATAGGCTGTTCACTTTGCAAAGCAATTTTCCCCTTAGCTGAATGGATGTGGTGTAGCTTCCATCATCCATGTGCAAGCAAAAATATGTTTTTTTTCCCTTGCTCATGATTGGGTATTCTTTAGAGCTGCAACAACGATTCGATTTAGTCGATTAAAATCGACGATCAAAAACGTTGTCAACATTTTCGATTATTTGGCTATTACATTGCCTATTCGCGGCTCCACACACAAGCTGTGCACGCCACGCCCACCGAACGCGCATGCTGCACCCACCGCAGTTCAGCCTCCAATCCTGGCGCTCCTTACATCTAGCCGGGCCGGTGCGATCACATGACAGGTGTCAGCCGGGGGATGGAGACTATGGCTGGGGACGTTCTGGCATCCAGGCTGAACCGTTCAGCAGAAGACATGGAGGGAATGTTCAGACAGTAAGTGCCCCGAGCACCCGGAGTCTGGGACCCCCGCCACCGTGCACCCCAATCCACCATCATACCCATCCTCTGCACCCTATTCCACCATCACACCCATCCTCTCAATCCCTGCACCCTATTCCACCATCATACCCATCCTCTGCACCCCATCCCACCATCATACCCATCCTTCTCCATCCCTGCACCCTATTCCATCAAACCCATCCTCTGCACCCCATCCCACCATCATACCAATCCTCTCCATCCCTGCACCCCATCCCACCATCATACCCATCTTCTGCACCCC